TCAGAAATAGGCAAAAGCACAAGCTGGTCATTACCGTCAAGATGCGGTTCCTGTTGAAGTGATTCCAGGCAGTGATGTCATGCCAAGGAAGATCTGTCCACAACATAATTATGAAGAAGCAGGCAACATCATAGTACCTCAAGCGATTCGAATTGCTGCTAATGAGAAGAGGTATGTTAGGGTCCTAATGAATGACACAGACGTCTACGTACTACTTTTGCATCATTATCTACATGACGGACTTATAAAACGCCAATGACCATGGAGACGCCCACCACAGATCGAACTGTTATTGGTGTTCCTGCCACTGTAGACAAGTAAGGAGATATCATTCCATCGATGTTGGCAGGACATGCGTTGACGGGATGCGACACTCTTGGAGCATACTTTGGCAATGGATAGGGTACAATGCTGAAAGTGATGAAGCAGAAGATTCGACTCCCTTAGGACTCATGCAGTTGGCAATGTTGATGCAGCATGGTCATACATGTCATCACTTAACCTACTCAATGCTTTGCTTCATGTTATGGACAGTCAACAACCAGCTCAATATCAGAGGCTTGTATCAACGTGTGGCTATGCTGGTCCCCAAACCTTGCCTCACTACCTCAAACTACTGAAGCGTTTGTAGAAAATGTTATGAGAGCTCATTTGCAAACATGTGTGTGGAAGCACGCCTTACAGTCACGACCTCACTTCGAACACATTTGTTTTGAATAATTTTGCAGAATTAAGTGTTAAATGACACCCTCTTCGCATGGAATATTTTAGGGTTGCCAACACTTTAGAGGGCTTTTAAACAAACTTCAAGATTTTGAAGCAAACTTATAAACGAATATAGTCCTGTATCGTATTAGTATAGTTCGTAATTTTTAGGTTCATATAAACGAATCTAGTACCTTAGAATACAAATTTAGTTTCTTAACGCTGTCACTGAAAACGGGCATTTATCACCATATGCCATTCATATCTTTGGGACAGAGAGCATAAAATTCAATCGTGGTTTCTTTGAGTATTAAATTACAAAATAAAAATAAATGTGCAGCACAATTTTTACTCACTGTATCCAGTGCATCTGACTCATGACATATGATAATTTCATGTTAGAAATTGGTATTTGGCCATCATTTTGAACTATGCAAGTTAATGTGTCTATAGAGGGCGCTATTCCGAATTATGCAAATTTACATATTATTTGTGATCATACAACATCGCAATTTTATTAAGTGATGATTCTAGAAAAAAAATCAAGATATTTGACTGCCATTTAATGTAGTAAAATGCTGTTAACACATTTTATATCATTAATTGGGGTTAAAAAGGAGATTTGGCGGCCATTTTGTATGACGTCACATATCTCAAATTGCTCAATGCTGACAGAGTGTCAGCAATCGGATTCTTCAGATTGATGGTCTAAGGAACTATAATCCACAAAAAAAACAAACTATAGACCCTAAAACAAGGTATATCGAGATGGCTGCCGGACTAAGGCTTTCGACGGATGAAACGTGGACGCCGGGCAGCTTTGAAGCACGATTGTGCCCACGGTATAAAAAGAAGGCCTCCTAAACAATAGCAATCATTGTATCTCATTCTATATTCTTCTCTATTTCTTCCTTTTTGTCTTCTTCCCTTTATCCTTATATTCTATGTAATTTGAATTATATGTATTTATTATTTATTTATTCATAATATGTATGCATTTTATATTTGTATATGATTGTATTTATATTAAACATTTTGTATAAGTTGTGTATTTTTATATATGGTCACCTGGAAGGAAAGTTTCCCTTTTTTCATTGGAAGAAGACATGATATAAATGATATATGCTATTCAATTCTTTCATCCACTTCAATCATGCGTAATGAGTTAAACGACCAGAGTCTGAAAATGCTTTTGTTGAGATACCGCTTTATTGACAGAACGATAATAAAAACAAACCGAAATAAAACAAAAAGAACAGTAATAAATCTCTTGTCTGTTTTCTGTTGTGTAAATCATATAAACGTACTGTAGTTTGTTATCAATAAATGAACCTTCGATTTTCTCAGTGATCTAAATACTTCTTTGTCTTCCTATACATTCTTTCACAATACATAAATGATAGTCATTTATCTTAAATCAGGGCTGAATACATGAATTAAACCTGCTTTTAATCATAGTGAAGTCTCCTAATAACTCTCACTGAAACCTAAAATAGCTTTCATTGCAGAATATCCAACTTATTTTCCTACATAAATCATAAATTTTGCCATATAAGAAAAAAAACATAAGCTTTAGGAAAATCTTCAGACGTCTGGTCTGGTCTGGTCTGGTCGTCGTCCTGTGGCTTCTCCTTGGCTGAGTGCTAGTGCTGCTGGCCGTTCTCTCTTGGTTGGGGCTTGTCTGGTTTCCAGTGATGGGCGGTGGCCTGGCCTACTCTGTCCACAGTCTGTCTTTTGCCGCGTCTTTATAACCAGCCAGTCTCTTAGAGTACAGCGTAGGATGCTGCTGGAGGAAGTCAATGATGAGCTCCTTCTCATCCTCCGTAAAGGTGGTGACGACCCTGGGGGCTGCCCTCCTCCTAGCTGGTGCGTCTTCCTCAGCCTCTCCAGCCTCCTCAGCCTCAGGTTAAGGTTCCAGTTCAGGGACCGGGTCAGCAGCATGCTCCTCTTCATTTGGCGGGGGTGAACGGCGAGGATCTTCAGGCTATTCCTGCTCCTCTATATACTAATGGTGGTGGTGGTGGTGGTGGTGCAGAACAGAGGGCCTTCGAACGTATTGGCTTCTTCGGTGGCATAGCTTGACCTTCTTTCTTCCTATTGTAGATGCAGTAATGTATCGTTGATTGTTCAGACTCGAATGAAGCTCCTGCCGCGCCCGTCTTTTATATGCTACCTCCCGACCGCGTGCGCCGTGTCAGAACGCAACGCGCCGCGCCCTTAAACCGTCAGACGCCGGGATGCGTCGTGATTAAACGCGACAGAACGGCTACCATACACCCTGGCCTGCCGTGAGAACCGTGACAAACCGTGGCAAAACGTGGCAAAACGGGACAAAATGCGCAGCAACCGTGACAAAACGTGCACTAAACGTGGCAGAACGAGACAAAACTTGAAAAGACCGTAATACGCCGGGGAATGTGCGGGCCTCCCGTCTCACTACGGACCACCTCCAAGATTTGTTACGGCCTATTACGGACTGTCACGTTCACCCCGTTTTACTCCCGCCCCCCCCCCCCCACTCAGTGTTATTTAGGGTACGCATATGCTCGTTCCCTCTTTTTGAAAGCACCCCCTATCTGAGGACTGCCAACATTTCCGAACCCCCTTTCGCGGGATTTTTGCGGGCTTTTCCTGCCTTGGAGACCCCCCTAAATCATGAAAAATGCTCAATGTACCCCCCTAAATTCGGATTAATTTCTCAGGAGTCCAAAGAGATGAGAGAAAAAACGAAAAAAAACCCCCTTTTTAAAGAAATCTCCGGGTGAAAAGTTAATACACCCCTTTTTTTTTTACAATTCTCGTGCCGGACTTCGTCGCACGAAAAGTACCCCTTTACCGGACATTATGGTAACACGCATGGGGTCATTCCGACCCCGGAGTGGGGGGGGGGGGGTCGGGGTTTTACTACGGCCTACTAGGTTTCTCATCCGCACCGTGACTGCCGTGGCAAATTTTTTGACAGTTTAAAAATCTGACACGGTATCCACGGCAATCACGGCCTGTCACGTTTGCCCATACGGTCCCCCGCGTTGTGTCACGTCAATCCCGTTTCGTCCACGGTGGCCTGAAACGTGGTTGCCGTGGTAGCCGGGAACATAGTGTAAACGTAGCATTTAATCATCAACACGTGAATAATAATGATTCTTAATCAGTGCATTTTCTCGTTTTTTATCTTCAGCACGAAGCTGATGCAACATAACCAACACTGGATCGAGTTTATAAAGGGGATTACAGGTGAGTTCGCCTCTAATCGTTAATGGTAGGCAGGACAATAAACTGAAGACATACGTACGTGTATCTCAATTCAACAATTTAAAAGTTATACAAAATTACACTACTGATACACACTATGCACCACCACCACCTATACACCACCGTATTGTTTAAGATAAATAAAGAGATGAATACATGAATAACATTAAGAGACAGTTTACGTTCACGCATGAAACTTTTGTATACAATTATGCAGGTTGGTAAATATTGTTTATATGTATAGTGATTTGTGTTATTTGCATTGCTATTAAATAAGTTGGTATATCGATAATGAAACCTGCTACAGAATAATTTATCATCAGTTATGACTAGAACATGAAGCAGTCGAGGAACAATAATTATTTATTTTATATCATATGCACATATCTACAAGCAATATGACCTTTATATTATCAAGTACTTATCTTATGTTCTTTGTATTCAATTCGGCACATTTTTAAGCACATCATTAATTCCGATAACGTTGATATCGTGGAAACTATATGTCTTTCGCGTTTTCAATTTCATAAAATGTAATACCCTCTCCTTCCTCTGTGAATTGTATTTTGAGTCTTACCTCTTGGTACGCAGGCATATATTACATAACAAGTCTATGGAAGTACAGTATTTTCTCATTAAAATAATAATCATATAGCACCCGATGAAATGTTTCATATTTAAAAATAGTGGCGTCAAAACACTCCCCCCCCCCCCATAAAAAGAATTTAAACAAATAATAATAATTATTATTTAAAAAAATGACTGGCTGATGTATGTGTAGTAGATAGAAGCCCTTTAATGATCATAACTTTTAGAGTTCTTTCGATTAAAACTGAGCATTTTTGGATTGAATAGGTCGCAACCCTCTTTGTGTCGTGTTTACTAGCGTTGGAAGTGAATCCATTGAGGAGGCAAAACATGATCTAACGAAACACGGGATCACTGACATATATGATGTACCTTGCCATAATGACCATTTATCAGATGGGGAACGGTTGCAGTGGCTTGATCTCCTACATGGATGCCTCTGTGAGGCTGACAAAGTGATGCTATACAGCAATCCATCATTTCTTAAGAGTTATGAGCAAGAGATTAAACAGGAAAGAGAAGCAGGGAAGAGGCACGAAGAAGAAATCAGACAGCGAGAAGAAGAAAAGAAGTTCCTTCAAAGAAGAATTGCAGACTTGAAGCATGTACTCAACGAGTCCCGTGCAAGTCACAAAAGCATAGTCAGTGAAAATGCAAGCCTAAAATATACCATGAGGGTTGAACAGGAAAGGCGTGAACAAAGTAATAGGGCTATGACTGAAAATGCGGAAAAGAACAGGCAGAGGGAAATAGAGTTGGATGAGAAACTAAAATCGAAGGATCTGCGTATCAAAACAATGGCAGAAAACTTCACAAGAACAGAAAAGACGGCGAGCCTTAAGATTGGGCGACTACAGTTCAACAGTGCAGATATGACGAAGAAATTAAAGTCTAAGCAACAACGTGTAGACACCTTGACGGAAATGCTGGAGGGGAGAGAGCGAAACGAGACGACCCTAAGACAGAAAGTTGAAGAATTAGAGAAAGGAAGAGAGGAAGACAGAGCAAGAGGGGAGAAAGAAAAACGCTCATTGGCTACAGAAATGACGAAGAAACTCGAGTCTAAGCAACAACGCGTAGACGCTTTGACAGAAATCTTAGGGGAGAAAGAGCGAAATGAGACGACTCTAAAACAGCAGGTTGGAGAATTAAAGAAAAGAAGAGAGGAAGACAAAGCAAGAGGGGAGAAAGAAAAACGCTCATTGGCTGCAGAAATGACGAAGAAACTCGAGTCTGTGCAACATCGCGTAGACACTTTGACAGAAATCGTATGGGAGAAAGAGCGAAACGAGACGACTCTAAAACAGCAGGTTGGAGAATTAAAGAAAGGAAGAGAGGAAGACAGAGCAAGAGGTGAGAGAGAAAAACGCTCATTGGCTGCAGAAATGACGAAGAAACTCGAGTCTAAGCAACAACGCGTAGACGCTTTGACAGAAATCTTAGTTGAGAAAGAGCGAAATGAGACGACTCTAAGGCAGCACGTTGAAGATTTAAAGAAAGGAGGAGAGGAAGACAGAGCGCGATTTGAGAACGAAAAACGGTCAGTAGAATTAAGCTGGAAGAAGGGGCTTGACTATAAGGAACAGAATATAGGGCAACTTGAGCGTGAGACCTGGAAGCTGAGAACCAAACTTCAACTAGAAAGTGAGATACGATCAGCAGAGCATAAGAAGAAAGCAGAGACACATCAATGGAGTTTCATTCCCTGGTTGACTTCTGGAAAACAAGCTCAGAGGGGTAAGACTGTTTTGCACTAATTTGTCTTGAGTCTCTTTACTTTACCAAGTCAATCTATTTATATTAGACTTTTTGTTTTACATTATGCCTTCGGGTTTTATTGTATATAATAGATCACATTTATGATATCTTATCAGACTGTTAAATTGTCTATAAGGAAAAAAAGAAAGACCGTGGGCTTAAAAGTGTAATTATCATGTGTATAGCGTTATTATGTGATGTTATGATCCGATTAGTTTTGTTTACTAATGTTTTAAAAAGAAATTTGAATTCCACAATCGATCTGGGAATATAAAATGTTCATTAGTTATAACTGGATTATTTCAACCTATTCAACTTGTTCTACATTCATGACAGGAATAACGTCCTCTGGAGATAATTCCAGGGGAGAATTAGATCAATCAGAAAGGAGCAATGCATCACAAGCAGAGTAAGTTGAAACACTTGGAGATATACTTTAACAAAACTTTCTGATAGTTTAAAGTTGTCTCAACATCAGTAGTAAAAAAAATATCACTTAAACATTTCAATCATTTGTGGTGTATTTTATCTTCACATTTGAACAACAACATCGTCATTTCTTCTTATTTTCTTCATCTCCTTATTTTCCTCAATATCTTCATTCTTCTTTATCTTCTAAACTCCATTTTATTGTTTGTCATAATTTTCTTCTTCTCTTTCTTCTCCTTATGTTTATTTTTCTTCTCCTCCACCTCCTTCTCTCTCTTCTTGTTCGTTAACCTTCTCCTCCTCATTATCTATTTTTCTTTGTCTTCTTCTTATAAGTGTTAACTCATATTAATTCCTTGGAAATGCCAGGACATCCTTCTGCAACCTGAACCAGCTATTGACCTACATTTAATATCTTTCGGTATTTCTTTCTTGTCACATTGTGGGTGGTTATGCGTATTTCTATCACGACACGTTTATAATATATATACCTGTATATGCCAAAACAAAAAGAAAATAGCCATTTGATTTTTTTTCTAATATGCTATTTTTGTAAACATCTCAGGGAGGAACCAACCAATGATGATTTTGCAAACATCTTGAAGCAGATAGCTGACGATCTTTCCGAGGAGGCCAAGATCGATAGCTTGGGTAGTCAGCTAGGAATTATACAGGGTGACATAGCGAGAGCTCTCAAGACCAACATGAGATACGAACAGGTCACCAGTAGAGGAACCCATCTCATGCTGATACAATGGAGAGAAGGTGTGTCCAGGGAAGATGAGCGGATCGAACTGAGGAGGGCGCTTGTGGCTGCTAAGTTGTTAGACCTTGCTAACCGTTATGTCCCACAGGGTAATTAATTACAAATCGATTCTAGGCCACACCTCATCATCCAGTAAAAAAAAAAAATGCTATTATTTTATTTGTTTGATATGTGATATATATTTTGTATCAATTATAATCATCAATGCACTTGTCTTCCTAATATTGTCCTTCTTGATTGCACATTACATGTTTTAAACAATGCAGTAGGACTAGTCAGTACGATCGTGCATTATTTCGTTTTAATTAATTTGGATTTGATTACTATGCTAATGCCTTTTAGATGAAACGGTTTGGGGTACAAGACATCAATCTTGCTGAAATTGGTTTCATTTTGCTTAACCTATGTTAGATTAGGTATAAATAATAGTAATTTTGTATTTATTAATCTTGATATCTCATAATAAGGCTTGGTTAAACTTAAAAAAAAACAGAAACAAAAGAAAGTATAAATCTGTTTATTATTCTGAAACGAAAACATCTGGAATATATACGAGCAATAATAAATTTCCTAATTCGGATTTGAAATCGATTTCAGTCAGTCCATAGACAAAAGAAGTTGGTTTTCCATGCTTTAAGTTCGTGTTCTTTCTTTGTTAAGTTTGTCTAACTCTCCGTTTAGGAAAAAAAGAAGGAAATACTGTGAACGGCCACCGTCTAGAAATAGAAGATTCTCGACAGCATTCCGAGGTAGATAACTCACCATCAGCACAACGGTCCTCAGAAGGACAGACAAGCCCAAAGGAACCTACCGCACCAACTGGCAGGCCTCATCTACACGGCCAGTCCTCCGAGAGCCACGGGGAGGAGGCGAGTGAATGCGTGGACAAACTTTCTGAAGTAGTTTCAAACCACAGCACTGATGGCGTACATGGAACACACGGAGGTGAGAAACCTAGCAATGGTACATTCAGCATTGCCTGTTATCATAAAGCAAGTGGCTATTCATACATTTAAAGATGACTGGCGTTCGTATTGAATGAATATGATTCGACAGTGAACTCTAAAACGAGTACGAACACGTATCATGATGTCCTCAAAACGCGTTAATATGGTAAGATTTATGAATACACGTTGATGGAGTTCATCATAATGGATAACGTTATAAAGGATGGTGTGGACATACTTGTTGAAATTAGAAATATTCTAAGATTTGTATTGAATAACACCGACGTTAATCTTTTTCATTTTCTTTTATGATAAGTAGGAGGATTGACAGGACAAGAACACCCTCAGAAAATAGGAGAAGTGCCAGGGTCCTCAGGAGGACAGAACAAGACCAATAAGCCTACAGCAACAACTATCCAAACTCCTGACGACACGTCACCCAAGAACCAAAGGGAGGAGGCGAGTGAAGGCATGGACCAACATTCTGAAGAATCATCAATCAACAATATCGCAGATGATGTACAAGAAACATCCGTAGATGTGTCTTCTAACGAGCCGTTCGATGAGGGAACTAGCATATCGGATGAAAGGGGTGTAGAATATACCACCATTAACTATGGCGACTTACTTTCTAATATCGCCTTGACCGAGACATCTTCGGAGAAACTATTGATGCTTTTATTCATGAAAGTAATCATTGATATTCCTTTCAAGGAATTCGGTAGATAAACATGTACGGACATCCTTTATTGTGAATGTATACATGGTTTTTGTTTTACAAGTTCAGACATATAACTTGCTTATACATTTATCCAATAGGCAAGGGACCTTTTAATTACAAAACTTAGAAGTACATTGACAGGTCAATTATTATAACTATACCGTGATATATTCTGGATCTTGCATAACCATGACTTAACACATTTATGCTTCCTTTATCGTCTCAAGAAAAGTGTTTTTTTTTTGGTACAGATTAATCAGATTTTTTAAACGCATCGATAATAATAATAATAATAATAATAATAATAATAATAATAATCGTAATAATAGTCAAATTTTATTAAACCGAAAATGTCAATTCTTTTTGCCCAATTGATCGTGAGCCCGGCAGCCACTGAGCAGCGCCTGGTGCCATGTAACCAAATTAACAAAACAGAATTCGATAAATAAATAAACCATACATACGCTATATCTCTGCCATAGAAAGATACAACATAATCATATTTTACATATTGAGAATCATATTTTACATATTGGGAATCATATTTTACATATTGAGAATCATATTTTACATATTGAGAATCATATTTTACATATTGAGAATCATATTTACATATTGAGCGTCAAATACATGAGACATAAAGTCCACATAGTGTCCGCGCTCGACGCTTACGTCCTCGCAATGACGAGGACTCTTGTGTTCGGAGTGTTAGATATAAAGTTATACAAAATTATTTGTAGTTTACTTCACACGATTTTGTTTCTGTACATACTAGTTTCTTTTCTCTATACTGTTTCTCCTGGGTATTTAATTTCTTACTATATTTTGCTTGGAAGTTTATGTTTTGCCATTTTTCTTTGTCGTTTGTTCATGTATATTGCATTGTTTTATTGTACCATTTCTTGTCCCCATTGAAGACCAGCGGCATCATAACGATAACGGTGAATTTGGGCTATCCAGTCATTTATTTTATCTTGTAATTCATAATTATATTCGTTATTGTTTTACCGAATGCATGATGTCTTTTTTATACGGAAATAAAACAAACAAACAGACAAGCATATAGCAACTGCAACGATATGTTTAAGGAAAACTAGGTTGAAAATAATCAATTTTCTCATGTTACGTAATACAAATCATAGTTGTAGCATCATAATTTAGTCTATGCATAATGTTTCTATATATAATTAGATATTCTTTGGTTGAAAACAATTTTTTTTTTCATGTTACGTAATACAAATCATAGTTGTAGCATCATAATTTAGTCTATGTATAATGTTTCTATATATGATTACATATTCCAATGTTTCTCACATTATATGTATGTTGAACTTTATTTATTTGTTATGACAATCTAAGTTAGCTTGTACCGTACCTTTAAAACAGATATAATGCATGATTGAATGATTAGAATGATTTAAATTCTCATGCAAAACATATTCCAAAGAAATTGCAATGTTTGTTCTCAGTTTAAAATAAGTATATTACAAAAAAAATAAACGATGAAACAAGACAAATGTAAAAGTAATGACACTAGAAAGGAGGAACCAAATAGAAGCAGAGCTTATTGAAGTATCAGTTCCTCAAAGGATGTTTCACAATAATCAATAAGTTAAACAAATATGTAACAATAAAGAAGTTATGAATTTGGGGAAGGAGATTTTCAAAATGAAGAAAAATGGGGAAGAAGAAGGCAAACAAGAAAGATAGATAGAAAAGGACAATGAATGATTGTAAAAGCTCTAGAAAGAGGAGGTCAGATCAGCAAAAAGACGGTAGAAAAGGATTTATTCGGGATTCAAACAAATCCGTGATTCATGCATACCGATGTGTCAATGTCAACAATGCAGCTGACCAGCGAAGACACATACACTCATGCATATTTGTTTCAAAATTTAATTTTCAGCTTTAAAAAAATGTGTATAGACTGGTATTTTGTTTAAGAGATGGGTCTATATTATCCAAAAATACTGGACCGGTGAAAATCATCTTTTTTTGTGTGCGAAAGCTGTTCTCATTCGAGGAGGGGGAAAATGTTTGACTGTCTAGTGGGGTATGAATGTATTTCGTTATTTGTGTGTAAAATGAAAGGAAAACTGGAGAGGTTAGTCGTTTTCAATTAGCTGTAACATTAAGATTCCGAGATATCAAGAATAAAAATCATCAATTTCAAGAATGTTGTTGAAAGAAGTTTTTTAGGCCTAATTAATCATCCTTTAACGACTTTTAATATATTTTAGCATGTTTCTGCACAGAAGGGTGTGGGAGTGAGATGGGGCTGCAAGCCCCCCTCCCATACTCATTGGTTAATTTTGGGAATACCAATCTTCTCGAAGTAAGGGAACAATCATTTCATGTAAGTAGGTGAGGTATTTGATAATGTTTTCGAAGAGAAAAATTCTACTTTATGCTCGCACACTTCTATCAACACTGCAGAATTGTAAGAGGAAAGTTAATATTTAGGTTAGATACGTTTGATCAATACCCGCACTCCTATAGATTGAAGGCGTAGTGTAATATTTTGTCTTTGTTTACTGTGTCATTCCTATCATGTCATAAAATGAAAATATTCAAAAATAATGAAGATGGATTTTTTCATTATTTCTCAAAAGTTGAGAGCAGTCACATTTTCATGGATAAGTTGTAAGAGAGAGAGAGAGAGAGAGAGAGATAAAGAGATTGTGACATGAAAAAGACAGAGAAAGGGGGAAGGGGTGGATAATGGGGAATCGAATATGAATCGACAAACGGATGCAACTTCTTTTTTGTTGTGTCAAACTCTACAATCTTCTCAATCTTCGGGAGGGGGTGAGGGTATAATTCGCTAGTATCATGCTACACAATATGGTAATTTTTTTTTTTTTGAAACAGGGAGATATCATCTGGGGGAAGTAACATCCGCCTCATAGGCAAAATGAATAAGCATATCAAGGGGATAATATCGAGTTATTGTACAAGCAAACATATCTAATATCTAATTTATCTTAGTAATGTTTGTTAACGTATGATAAGGCAGTGTGATGTGATATCGAATTAGTTAATAATACATAAATATTTGAGACATAAATACATAAATGAATAGACAAATACAAATAAAAAAAAGTCATCACTTTGACAAGACTAATATAAGGCAATACAAGCTTATTAAATCATTGATTATTATTATTTCCTTTTTTTTAATTACCATGTGATTTAAGTTTAAATTTGCTGATGATATAAAAATTAACAATTCAATTTGACAATGAAAGTAGAGGTAAGGGGAGGGGGGGGGGAGGGGTGAACACTCCTCTTTATCTGAACATCCACCCCCCCCCCCCAATGTAGCCAAAAATTAAAAGGCGATCTTGAAACGGGTATAATAGAATCAAAAACATTTCCCCACCCTATTTGTAAACACCTGAAAGACGGATAAAGGGCGTCTTTAAAATTCTAAAATACAATCTTTTTGTCAAGGACGGGGTGGGGGTTGAAGGGGTGTTTGATCACCTTTAAACACCCCCTGTTTGCCTAGGGTGATGCTGGAACACCCAAAACACTCCCTAGATACGCCGATGCCTTCAATTTCCAAAGTATTGCATGGCAATAATAAAAGTTTTGTTGTGCATGTTTTTGTTGAATTACGAAAGTTAGTATGTAGTTATACATGATGATTGTTTGTTGTTAAATTGTAGTTTGGAGGAAACTTTTAACTTATGAATATTAAGATAATGATATTTTCCCGGGGGGGGGGGGGGGGGTGGTACCCACATATTAAGACATACAGGGGTGTGCCGCTCTAATGGGTAACTTTTTCACCAAAAAAATCCCTAAATATGCGTCCCACTTTTAACAAATATACCATTCAGAATGGGTCCGTTTTTAAAAAAAATTGCTTAATTTGCAAACGCCTAAAAAACATTCGAAAAACACCCGTAAATTTTGGAAAATGGGTCTTTTTTCGAGAAAAATGCCCTCAAATGCCCACTAATAATGGATATGGGTTTCGAGGCTTGAGCGGCACACCCCATCCAAACCAAATCTGAGTGTCCCCCCCATGGGGATGTTTCATTTCCTTCCTCACAAATTAACGTTAAAGGAATTATCACAATAAGTTTTATAGTCAAGAACAAAATCTTCGACACAACAAATTCATAAATTTCATCAATTGATGAATAATAAACATAGAAAAGCCTCAAATTATACATTATTGTACATTTTCCTTTCATATAACAGTTGATAATCAAAATAACAATAGAGGAAGATATGAAGTTACATAATCCCGCCCAATTCATTTTTTGTTACTGCTAACAATTCGGAATGTTAGTCGGATTTCATTGTTAGCGCCATCTTGTGTTTATATGGTGGTCTAGAAAGTAATGAAATAACTTTGGGACAGCATGGAGCTTCTATAGAGATAAGACCCAGAGGAGACTTACAATTTGATTAACTTTCCCGTTTTTGTTCCACACTGTAGGTTGATTCACACTTTTGTAATTTTTGGAAGATGGAATGATTCATAAAACAGTCAGTTCTGCCCTGGGAATCATCTAATAAAGGCCATTGAACTGAATTAACATTGTCATGTTTCATTGATGATCGAATGGAGATGAGAAGCATGATTCGAATTTGACTCTGATACGAAGCATAAGAGCCCGGTACAGTTTTCACGTAGATGAGCACATACAATCGTCCTGAGTGAATATACTTATTCGTTTATTTACCAACCCAGTAATTTTTCACCAAAACAAAGCTAGAGAAGAAATGAGAAATACAAGATTTAGTGCAACATACGATGACAGTCTCTCCCGAAATGTGTAATTTCAGACTTATACTAAAGAGGGATGTAGCCTCGACACCCTCCCCCAGTACCTGGATCACGATGACACATTCCATGATAAAAGCAGTCATCATCTTTACATTTGTGATTACTGGGGGAAAAAAACGTCATCGATCTCTTCGTTTTATAATAAGACCTCTTTATTAAAGCCGAACCGATGAGAAAAGATATATTATAAAACACTTATTTCCC